ATAAAAATCCTAGTGAGTTTTGATCCAATCTTTCTTGGAGGGTTATTTATATTTACTCAATAAAAGAATATTTTTATTCAGCTAGTCTCCCTCAATAGTCTCATTATTTTTGTTTTGGTCAATACCAATATTATGAATGATTGCTTGATTTTAAATTATTTGTATGGAAAGTGTGTCAAAAACTCTTAAGATATGATTTTAGGCCAGCTTTGATATTATTTGAGCCTAAGTCTTATTTTTTGAATATTATTATTCCTAGAAGCCACGATTGAGCCTATGAAGCAAAATTTTATTTTTTATACCCAACATATAATAACCAAGTTAATAAAAAAAAATAACATTCTTTACCATTGGTTATCCTGAGATTGAGCTTTTATTATTTATATAATTTGGGAGATGTTGGTTGAGAAACGATGATAAAAAAAAAAAAAATCAATTTTGCATATTTATGAATATTTGCATTAGATGTCTTGCTAAAAAAAAAAAAGTATATACATTCAATTGTCTTGTTAAAAAAAAAGTTGAAAAGAAAAAGAAAGACAATATGTCTAGCTGTGAAAAAGCAAATTAAAAAAAAAAAAAAGAGAAAAAAATTAGCAAGCATGGTTTTGAAAAAAATGAGTAAGTGTTGAAAATTATGTTTCTAAAGGATGAAGAGTGAAAAGTTATGGAAAGAAGATTGGTTGTGTAATGTAAATATTATCTCGGGATAGTCTTTTGAATTCCTAAATACCCTTCGTTTCAAAACCCTAATTCCAAGGCCTCATTACAACCTTAAATAAAGACTTATTTGATCTCAAGAGTGTATTGATGAATGCATGACTTGTGTGAATAAGGAAGAAAATAATGATTATTTATTTATTGTGTGTTGATTTTCTTTTCATGAGACTATGTCAAATCATTTTCTTTTGGATCATGTTTTTTTTATAGATATGTGAGCATTATTTTGTTTTGATTTAAATATCTTCTTCTCATATGTGATATTTGAGGGAATAGACACTATAATCTGAGAGAATATTTTATGAGTGAATTATCTAGTGAGATTTGACATTAAAACGAATAGTTGATGGTTATAGAGGTGATTAAAGGACAAATTGCTAACTTGGCATAGTTAATTCATAATACACACGAGTTTATATGAGAACATGATAAGTGCATATATTTATATAGCGTAAAATTCTATATTTTGCTTTACATGTGCTTATTAAAAAGGCTTACCACTCAGAATTTTCATATTGTGGTAGCAATTTGTATTATAAAATTATTATTCAGATATTTAATCACAGGGTGATGTTTGTGGGTATCATCTCTGGAAATTCTCATGAGACTATACTCGTCCACTACGGAGAACCTAGAGGTTTAAAGGCTTGTTGCATATGCTAAATACAATCGTGAGGTCTACGAAAGTGGATTTATGTTTTATTTTATTAGACTATTTAGTTTTTAGGTTTTAGATTTTTGATTTTGGGATTCATATATTACTAGAGACTAGTAATATTCAAGTTGAGGAGTGTGATTAACCATCAAAATTATTATTTTATTATATTTAATGATTGATTAATTGCATATTATTTGTGATTAAATGTGTTAAATTTCTTGATTTTCTAGTTTGATATTTTTTCTAGTAGTTTGGTTTATTTTTGCAGGTAAATTGATTGATTTAAAGTAATAATAGATAAGACAAATGAAACAATCATTAGATGAAGAGTTACAATTGATAAGGATTAAAGAGTCAATATTGAAATAGGAAGACTTGAAGATATGACAACAATTTAATCCTTATAAGTGTCCAAGTTAAAAAAAAACTCATTTAGAGTTGGATTAAGAAAATATTCTAAAAGATAAAAATTTGACACATCTTTAGTATTTTAGCCATAACTTTTGACTCCGATATTCGATTTACTTGATTTTTGGGGGCTAGAAATAAAACTTCAAGGGTTACAAAAGTGTATTTCACGGAATTTTTGTGAATCAACCTCTAAATATGCGAAATCTAAGATCAAAGTCTTGACAAATTTTGTACTAGCGCCCCAAAGATTTTATGCACCGGATTTAACCTTACAAGACTTTTTTTTTGGGAAAAGAATTCCTTTCAAGCCAACCTTAGATCTCCTACCTATACTTAAGATTTATTTTTAGTATAAATAGGAGTTCTCATTTAGAGATTATTATTATTCTTTTTCCATTTTTTTATTTCAATTTTAGTTCGTCATGTCTGGCTAAAAGGTTTAGCTAAGGTTAGGGAAGAACCTTTCAATGAAATACAGTAATGTTATTGACTTTTGAATTTAATGATTTATGATGTTTTGTTAATTTAACTTTCGATTTGTTAGCAAAGTTTTTGGTTTTTAAAAATTATTGAGTCGTTATGTCATGTACATCAATTGCTTTAATTTTCATACAAGTAAATAATTGGTTATTTCACGCTTGAGGTAATTATCATTATTTCATAAAATAATATAATTGGATGATTATTCAGGTTCCTGAATAATCTTTTGATTACAACTTTAAGATTTCTTACTTGAATCAACCAACATCTGATTCTTGTCTCAAGTTAAGATTTGAGTTTTTAATTATTATTGTATAGAGTTGAGAGGGAGTACCTAATGCTCTAATATTTTTATTACTGTCTTAATTATTTAAATCAAATTTCCTTGCTCAACAATTCTCTAAACAAATCAGTTATTTTGAAGTTTATTTTAGTATTTGTGTGATTGCTTTCTTGTTACAATTCTTTGAGGGTTCGATCTCGGTCTTTCGAGAAATATATTACTTCGCTTAATCTGCACTTGAGTTTACAATATTAAAATTAAAGTAATGGGTCCTACAAACAATAATTTATTTTATCATATCTTATATAACAAATATATTATTTTATCTTTAACATCTATTCTATTATTCTATTTGTGTAACTCTTTTGCATAATATTTAGTATAATTTATAATATAAAACACAATAAATTTCAATAAGCTAATCGTAGGTCACAACTCATTCCATTTATCGGCTACTAATCTTTCGCCATTTTACTCCAAATTCAACATTTTTTACTCACAACTTTTTTCAAAAATTCACCCACTCAGTCCCGTCACCGGTCAGACAAGTCATATTCTGCGCCTTTCTGCATCTTTTTTTTTTTTTTTTCCCGACTTTTTTCAGAAATCTACCCACTCGGTCCATTCAGCTGTCAAAGAAGCCACCTTCCTGCATCTTCTCTTTTTTTTTTTTTTTCTGTCAGACTAGCCTTCCCTGCATCTCCTTTTCTTCTTTTTTTTTTTTCCCACCCTTTGTTACTCCTTCCCCCCCCCCTCCCTCTCTCTCTCTCTCTCTGTTATGCTCCTGCGACACCGCCACTTCATCAGCAATACCACCGCCGCCGCTGCTAACCCCTCCCAGGTCTGTCTTTTTTTTTCTCTCTCTCTCTCACACACACACACACTAACACACAAACAAAGACCCACACCCACTAACACACAAACAAAGACCCACACCCACACCCACACCCACACTTGGTGAATGCTTGATGTATTCAGTAAACACCCACACCCACACCCACAGCGTTTGTCTATAATTTGGCTTCAGTAGGCCTAATCTTTCCTTACAAATGTGCAGTCCCCGTCTCTTTGAGAATATCCCTGGATGATTCTTGAATTCAGGACCTCCACCCTTATGAAGTCTGAATCATATATAAATGGTTTGGGTTCACGCATATCAGTTATTTATTTGTACTTTGTNGAGGACAGGAAGCATGGAGACTTTCTGAGGCTGGTATTGTCATTGTATCATGTGTCCCTTTCACTTTTTTGTTATCTGCATTGGACAAAAATTAACCATGCCCACCTCCCACCATGGGGAAGGGGGAGTATGCCCACTCCTATGCCCACCTGCATAGGTGAAATGGATGCTTACTCCTAATATATGTTATTCTGGGAAGCAAACCTACTGAACCTTATGTAAATGTGATGCGTGCAGGAACACATTGAGGGGTACCTTGAACTGTCAGCCAAGACGAAGTCTTTTTTTACTACAGTTGTTGCTTTGTGGGATGCGGATATCTATGTTAAATATAGGTATAGAAGNGGTTTCTGGTTGTGGAAAAGTTGAAAAAAATTGCTTTATGGGGGTTAGTGTTTGGATGCGATTTGCGAGGACCTGAAGTGAAGTTTTGCTATTTTGGAAAATAATGAAAAGCTTTTGGGTGGTGCATATTCTGTAAAATCATTGCTGAATTTCCAAATTTTAACGAATTCTGTTAATGTTAACCACATTAACAGAAAGATTGAAGCTTTGATGCNTTTGCGAGGACCTGAAGTGAAGTTTTGCTATTTTGGAAAATAATGAAAAGCTTTTGGGTGGTGCATATTCTGTAAAATCATTGCTGAATTTCCGAATTTTAACGAATTCTGTTAATGTTAACCACATTAACAGAAAGATGGAAGCTTTAGATTACTTACTTTTGGTCCAATTCAAGTTGGGGTGACTGTTGTTTGAATTGGGCTGAATAATAGAAGCAACAGTTTTTTTCCCTTTGTGGTACGTGTTGCATGTTGTTGAATTTTAGACTTAATGCCCAATCTAGCTGTTGATGAGGGTGGCAAATTTAGAAATTGATACTACCTGGTGAATATAATTCAAAACCACTTTGAATCAGGACAAAAGAATTGATGATGGAGATAGAAGGAATAATGAGAATATTGATAAGTATAGTTTAATGTTCCATTCCTTCATAGTATAGTTTAATGTTGATTTGAAATATTATATTGTTTCCTTAATTTAGACTAAAGAAAGGGTTTTTTCATCCTTTTATTTTTTTTGGTTGAGGTTGCTTTTGACAGGGAAACACTTAGTTAATGCTTGTAATAGATCTATTTGAAAATCTATTTTATTAAGATTCCCTGTTTTACTCAATTTTTAGAGCTTTAAACCATAGTGTTTGAAGATAAAGATTTATTACTATGTTAATGTGGATAACTACATCCATATATTTCTTGCCAATGCAACTTATGATGGATGAATTGTGTACAGCAGGCAGTATTCTTGATAGGGCTATTGAAGCAGAGGACAGGAAGCATGGAGACTTTCTGAGGCTGGTATTGTCATTGTATCATGTGTCTCTTTCACTTTTTTGTTATCTGCATTGGACAAAAATTAATCATGCCCACCTCCCACCATGGGGAAGGGGGAGTATGCCCACTCCTATGCCCACCTGCATAGGTGAAATGGATGCTTACTCCTAATATATGTTATTCTGGGAAGCAAACCTACTGAACCTTATGTAAATGTGATGCGTGCAGGAACACATTGAGGGGTACCTTGAACTGTCGGCCAAGACGAAGTCTTTTTTTACTACAGTTGTTGCTTTGTGGGATGCGGATTTCTATGTTAAATATAGGTATAGATGCCAATATTTTTCTGTTGCATTTTCTCATTTTATTTTCCAAATAACTATATTTGTTTCGTTATTTCGTGGGAGATATTATGAGATCATGATTTTGAAGCTGGAAATTACTGTAATAGCTTGCTCCTGTGGAAGGCCTGAGATTCCAGTTTTTTTCTTTTCTNTTTTGAAGCTGGAAATTACTGTAATAGCTTGCTCTTGTGGAAGGCCTGAGATTCCAGTTTTTTTTTTTTTTCATTACAACACTAAAGATCTTTGAGTGTAGACAACCATGAGGTCTACAACTGTGGCTAACTGCCTAGCCACTGAATGTGATACATAGCAGAATATTCATCTGTAGTTTGTAAACAGCATGCGTTTAGCTATATTATTCTCAACGTATCATTTAATTCACTGTACTTTAGTATATTAGTAGTGCATCTACCCATCAATGGCCCTTTGGAAATTCTACTCTTGTGGTTGTTTCCTCATATTTCACTGCAGTAACACTAACATATGTTTCTGATGAGTCTCTCCCATCATGACCCAATGATTTTGGATTGGATGCCCTTAAACATGAAATCAAAGCGGTGTAGTTCGTGTGGCGAGAATTTTGGCATTTGATACAAACAAAAGTTGACGAAATGTCATTTTAATGTTGTATCATTATGCCAATGCTTAGAACATGCTGATTTATTTACTTTCTAAATTTTATGTTGGTTCTATGTAAATTCAAGTTATTAAAACTTTAGAGAATGATTTTCTTTTTTCCTAATTTTTAATTTTAGTATAATTCCAGTCATTAAAACTTTCGTTATTGTACTAAGAGTTATTATTCAAGTCGAGTGAAATTAGTATTTATGTAGGTGAATATAAGACTTAAAGAGGTCATTTGTACTAAAAGTTACTATTCAACTCGAGTGAAATTAGTATTTATTTAGGTGAGAATATGACTTAATGGGGTCATTTGGGATTGATCCCAGTTTTTTATAGTCATAAATCAACTCTGATAGAGTCTTATTTACCATTCCCTTAATAATATCTCTATCAAACAATGTACAATATTGCAAGCTATGAACAGTCATTGTACAAAGGTTGCACTCTATATAATTGGCAACATTCACTTGTTAGTCCTCCATCACATTACACATTTGCAAACTTCACTACTATAAAAAACGCTGCATGGTATGATGATAAATTTTCAATGATTATATGTTTGTTTTTTGAATTTGTGAGCATTTGTGTTCAATGATTAAATTTTTTGTTTTTTTTCAGTACATGGTTTAGTTGAAGGAGTATCTATGATATTTGTCCCAATTTTTTGTAGTTATTTGTCTACAAATAAAATTTATCTTTGTGTTAATGATGTGTTGAGGAATCAGTTATCCTTCATCCTTTTTTTTTTTTATGTGTTCCTCCCTCTTGCACTCCTCTCTCTTTGTCTTTCTCCCTTTCTCTCTCTGTTAGGCCATCTCCAACAACACCAACATTGCTAGCAACATAGCTATTGCCATTGGTATATAAAATTTATTAAATGTCTATTTTTTTGGCATAAAGTTATATTTTTTTTTTGTGCTAGATGTTAAAGGTGTAGAAGTAGACAAAAAGGTTAAACTTTTATGTTGGTTTGTGTGAAAATGGTAAGCTTAAATATCCACCATAGTTTGTGTTAAATTTGTAAATTGTCTGCCATGGAACTAGCAGCACAGCCCAGGTACACCCCCTCTCTCTCTATCTCTCCCTCTCTCTGCCATCCCAGCAGCATAGCCTAACACACAGTCGCAAAATCAACACACAAACACACACAGAGAGCTCACGCACAACAGACGCACACAGAGAAACACACACAACAACAAACACAGCGTAGCATCATTCAAGTGGTATATGTTTGTGTTTAATTTGTGTGTTTTAAATTTGACTTTTTTTACTTTAGATGTTTTTACAATGGGTGTGTAATTTGTGTTCTTACTCTATCTCTCTCTTTCATGACAGACCTCACCCAAACACACACAAGCCTCACCCAAACACAGACACAACACCACACACACACACACACACACGCAGACGCACACACAACAACACACACACTACAACACTAAAAATACACACACACACACACATTTGCATACAAACACACACACTACACAGCAACATACAAAACACATAAATTTGTGTGTGGTTTGTGTTTGGCCAAATGAATTTAGGTTAATTAGGGTTTTTGAATGTTTGTGTTTAATTTGAGTGTTTTTAATTTGGATGTCTTTTAATTGGGTGTTTAATTAAATGTATTTTTTTTTTTAAGTTACGAATGTTAGGTTGTTTGTGCATATGTTGCGTTGAGAATTGGATGCTGAATATAGTTTGTGAAATTTCAATTTAATTTTTTAGTATCTTGATTTGATGAATGTTATTTTACATGAAATATCTTGATTTTATTAATGTTGATTAGTATGAAATAGGTTTTCATTAATTATAGAGATTGTATGTTAATTAGTATGAAATAGAGTCTTATAACCCACCGTCGAAATAGTCTTATAACAATTGCACAAAATAATTATGTTGAATCCAACTAACGATAAAATTAAGGGATTTTATGTTTTGGATTTACAATTATTTTATTTTGCCTCTAATATTTTGATAATTTTTATATTTCAAATATTTTCAAGTATACATGGAAGAATGTGAATATGAAGTTGAAGATGTTTATTTATTTGTGCATATGTATATTTTTTGTGTTCTGTCTTTTGTAGAGTTAACTAATTATACATAGTTATGATGATTTTTGGTATGAAATGATGGTTGTTTTGGTGGGTATGTATTGACGGTTGTAAGTTTTGTATATATGTTTAGATTTTTTTGGGTTTCTATTTTTAGAGAAAATTTTGCCGAATTTTCTTGAAATTAGTAGGAATTAGTTTGATGTTTTGGTGGTGGGATATGTGTTGATGATTGGGGGTATGTATTGATTATTATTGTGGTGGTATAGTGAATTATAATAATTGTTATGTATGATTATAAGTTTTGTATATAGTTTAAAATTTTTATGGATTCCTATTTTTAGAGAAAATTTTGCCTAAATTTTTGAATAATTGTATGAACTACCATGATTTTAAATTGACAGATTGTTTTAGGTTGTAAATAGTATTTAGATAATGTAGTATTCTTTGAGTTTTAATTTAATTTTACATTACGTCGTATTTTCAGGCACGGACAATTACTAGTACATGATATAACAATGTATACCCAAAAAATTCTGAATAATATAAAAAATTCACATAAAAAGTAATGAATTTGATGCTATGAATCGGTGATACCGTAAAAAAAAATTAGTGACACCATATGTTTAAATATAATATAAGGAAAATATTAAAATTTTTTTTTAAAAAAAAACGATAATACCATACGTTTAAACATAATATAAGGACAAAATTTAAATATTTTTTTTTAAAAAAAAAATCGGTGACACCGTACGTTTAAACATAATACAAGATAAAAATTCAAAATAAATTTTTTATGAGAACTCTTAATAGAGGAGTGCATTTGTGTCAATTTTTATGTCTGTCTTGTCCATTCATTTAACCTATGAAGATAATACCATATGGTAGTAGGTGATATTCATTAATATCATATACAAGATTTAGGAGACACTGTTCAAATCGAGTCAATATTACGATTCGAAAAATAGTATTGAATATAAAATGACAAACAAACAAGGTAATAGGTGGGTCAGATACTATTTTCTTCTATTTTATCCTATAATACCATGTAATACACGAAACATACATGCCCTACAAGTGTAGCTGCCACGAGCAAATATTGTTTAGTGGTTATCTATCTGAACCTAGTAAGGGTTTGTAAATTTAGTATATCAACTTGGTCTTTACGGAGTAAGATCTCTTTTTATACATTTTTCTTTAATTTTTTTCTTGACTGCATCCACCCATTATATACAAATGAGTCACTTACTTATTAATTGATCCATCAAACAAAAAATTGAAGAAAAAATATATTGGATAAGATCAAAATTCGGTCTTCACTAATTGGCAAAAGTTGAAATTTGAGTAATTGAAAACTACTTTAAATTTTAATCTGAAAACCGTCCAATATGAATGCAATTACGCCTTCCAAGCCCAACATGTGAATCTCATGTGGCTCTTACTCATCGCCAAACTTTGACCTGCAAACAAAAGATAATATGGTACGACAATCTATGCCTATTTTCTTCTTCAATTTTTGTTGAGCGAATTGTATTTTATATTTTGAAAGATTTTAAGGTTTTTATTTTATGTTTTTAAACATTAAATTTTTTGTATTGGATCTTTTTGTTAATGTATCAAAAGTATTATAATGTGAACTTTTTGTTAATTTTTCGTTAGTTTTTCTGTCAGTGTTAATGGATTGATTTTTAAAAAAAAATAAAAAAAAGATCATATTACAATACTTTTGATATATTTAGTGTATTATATAACAAATTTAATCTTTAAAAATATAAAATAAAAATCTTAAAATTCTTTAAAATATAAAGTGTGAAAAATCCTTTTTTGTAATTGATTCCGTGTATCAATTGTGTTTTTTTTTTTTTTTGGGG